TTGATAAACATATTTTATGTTGCTGGCTTATCCGCTGCTGCTCCGAAGATCCTCCCCCCCCGTTGAAAGGTCAGGGCTTTCAACAGAATCCTTCACCGGGAGGACACACAGCTTGTTCACGGCTCGTCGCGTTATGCCGCTAGATGTTTTTAAAAGTGCCACACGTACGACACCGTCTGCTCCAGGGACAACTTCGATTACCCGTGCTAGAGGCCACTTCAGTGGTGGTGAGTTTTCTTCCTTTATGCATACGACATCATTGACTTGAATGTTGGCATGAGGTAAACGCCACTTTGCGCGTTGCTGTAGAAGAGTTAGATACTCTTGAGTCCACCGCTTCCAAAAAACCTGTTTAATGTATGTTGCACGCTGCCATCGATCAAGTCGGTCGTAGTTTAGCGTCGTTAGATCCGGTTCCGGAAGAGCTGTCAGAGAACCACCAATAAAAAAATGGCCTGGCGTTAGCACATCTAAATCCTCTGGGTTTTCTGAAAGGGGTACGAGAGGACGAGAGTTAATTACAGCACAGATTTGACATACCAAAGTACGCAATTCATCGAAGCCAAGCAGTGATGAGCCAACGGAACGATAGAAATGTTGTTTGGCTGTTTTTACGGCCGCTTCCCACAAACCGCCAAAGTGCGGAGAGCGAGGTGGGATGAAACGCCAATCAAAGCCATTACTGAGGCAAAAGTTGTGGACATCGCTGCGGTGTTTCTCGCTGAGAGTTCCGTAGTTCTTTAAGCTCGTTCTTGGCGCCTACAAAATTCGTCGCATTGTCAGACCAGATGCAGCTGGGTATGCCACGCGTAGCGATGAATCGTTTTAGCGCGTCAATGAAAGCACCTGTTGAGAGGTCTCTTACCAACTCCATCTATACAGCCTTTGTGGCGAAGCAAATTAAAACGCTTACATAACATTTGTGGGGCGATTTATTGCGTACTTCAGGCTTGTAATAAAATGGCCCACAGTAGTCCACACCGGTGACTATGAATGGGCGCGAGGCCTGAATTCGCTCTTTAGGCAGGTCGGCCATTATGTGCTCGACAAGGCGCGGTCTCGATTTGCAGCAAATAATGCATTTTTGTAGGACTCGAGTGACTGTTTTCCGACCACCTATGGGCCAAAACTGCATTCGAATGAAGGCGAGTAAAGCTTGAGGACCTGCGTGATGTTGTTTGCGATGAAAAAAGGTTATTATACTAAATGTCAGTGGATGATCCTTCGGAATAATGCATGGGTGGCGCGATTCAAAACTAAGCATAGAGTTTTTTATTCGCCCGCCGACTCTAATAATTCCAAAGTCATCAAGAAATGGTGATAGCGAAACAATGCTGCTCGAACTCGGGACGCAATTATTGGCCTGTAATGCCGTGTACTCCGGCCAAAGTTGCGCTCTTTGTACTAAGCGAATAAGCAGTTGAGTTCCATGGTGAATATCTGCGGCTGTGAGCTGCGAAGAGCTTGGCGATGTTGTAATATTGACAAATTTGCTGACGTACCCAAAAATGCGCTGCATTGTTCCAAATGAATTAATGTACTTGAACGAAAGCGAAATGTCATTGCGGTTATGTGCGGCAAGCAACACCTTTTGTCGAAGTTCTGGAAGTTTTGGTTGTGGTAGACACATGCGCGGCCAGCTGCCCTCCACTTCTCGCAAAAATGACGGGCCGTGCATCCAAAGTGAAGATCCTAGAAGTTCCTGCGGGGTAGCTCCTTTGGATAAAATGTCCGCCGGATTCATTGCTGTCGGAACATAGTGCCACCGCATGCCCTCCGTTAATTGATGTATGGTGGAAATTCGGTTAGCGACAAATACGTTAAATTTCGATGGTTCTTCTCGCAGCCACGAGAGGACAGTGGAGGAATCTGACCAACAATGAAATGAACAGTTAAAAAGCTTCATTTTTGTAAACTCACCCATGAGTTGTGCCAGCAGTGTTGCTGCACAGAGTTCCAGCTTGGGCACGGTGATAGTCTTCAGTGGAGCGACACGGGCCTTCGAACACAACAGGTGCACTTGTACCTTACTATCCTTGGCTGAACGCGTATAAACGCAAGCCCCATAAGCTTCAAGGCTTGCATCGCAAAATGCATGAATTTCTGTAATGGCCCTAGGTTGCAAGACGTAACGAGGAAATGATAGGTGCTGTATGTCTGCAAACCCTCTGCAAAAGGCAGACCAGGCGGTGTTTAACGATTGCGGTAGACTCTCATCCCACTCAAGCTTGTCTCTCCACATGCGTTGCAGAAGAATCTTCGCCTTGGTCAGCGTAGGGCCCATTAGTCCAAGGGGATCGTAACAGCGAGCTAGAGTAGACAACGCAGAGCGTTTTGAGTTTTTACCGAGTTCTCGTTGTGGCACAAACAAAAATAGCAGCTTGTCCTTGACCGTATCCCAAACTAGTCCCAGAGCTTTGGTGATGTCACTGCCATCGTCAAACTTAAGGAAACGTTCCTTGTCTACGTCAGGTATATCACGAAGGATATCTGGACTATTAGAGCACCACTTGCGTAACTTAAAGTTTCCTCGAGCAAGGAGGCTAGTTGTTTGTAGCTTGATATTCAGTACTTCTTCCATCGAATCGCCTCCAGATATCAAGTCATCTACGTAGAAGTCTCGACGCACTATTTCTGCACCAATGGGGTAAGTCGAGGATTCGTCAGCTGCGAGTTGGTGCATGGCACGTATGGCCAGAAATGACGCAGGCTTAGTTCCATAAGTCAGCGTGTCTAACTTATAGATGGCAAAGTTTTCCTGAGGAGATTCACGCCACAATATGCATTGGAGCATGCTATCTGGTGGGGTGACGCGAACACACCTATACATCTTACAGATGTCCCCAGTAAGTGCTATGGGAAAAGTACGAAATCTAATAAGGATATTAAAAAGTTTCGGCTGAATAGTTGGGCCTGCCATGAGTAGGTCGTTCAGCGAAAAGCCCGAAGTAGTGGATGCAGAGCCATCAAAAACCACTCTCAGCTTTGTTGTGCTACTGTCATCCTTGATGACGCAATGATGCGGCAGAAAATACCTGCATTGTTGAAAAACCTCTTTGGTAACTAGCGACATGTGATTAAGGTCCAGATATTCCTTTATGAACTTACTATATTCTGTTTTAAGCTCAGGGTTACGAGCGAATTTTCGTTCAAGACTTTCGAAGCGTTGACGAGCTTGCAAATAGGAGTCTCCAAGGGCCTCCACACCACGCTTCATGGGAAGACGAACTGAGTATTCGCCTGATGACAATCGCAAATAATTTTCCCGGAAGTGGGCTTCGCAGTCGATATCTTCTTGGGAGACCTTAGAGATCGGCTCGAAGTTGTGCTCTATTTCCCAGAACTGACGCACTAAATCTTCCAACCGAGTGGAAATAATATCACTGGAGGACTTCCGTCGCACCACAAAAGATGATAGTTTTGGAGCTTGTTGCCCCCCTCCAGATAGCACCCAACCGAGGCGTGTTTTTTGAAGGAGTGGTAAACCGTATGCCAAGCGTATCTGCCCCACACATAGCAGATCGAAGAACAATGCTGCTCCAATGAGCAGATCAATTCGCTGCGGTAAGTTGAACCCAGGATCGGCTAGTTGTATATTCGACGGAACATTCCACTCGTTGGTGCTCACGGAGCAGCCAGGCTGGTTGTCGGTTATGGTTTGCACAACAACAGCTGTTATGTTTGTTGAGAAATCTGAAGTCCGCGACTTCAGTACGAGGTCGACTGAGTAACCCTCCGTTGAGAAATTGGCATCTCCAATGCCAGATACTGTAGCAGAAGATTTTGCTTTTACAAGCTGCAATTGGTTTGCAAGGCGAGTTGTGACAAAGTGTAACTGGGAGCCAGAATCTAAAAGCGCCCTGCAAGGCACGAGGCTTCCAGCACGATTTTTTACCAGAGCGACGGCAGTAGCTAGGAACACAGCATCAGAAGGAGATACTGGGGCACTAGGCGACACAGATAACGATGCAGTCATAGCGTTGGATTGAACTGTAGCTGCCGACGAAGCTTCGGCTTGACTATTGATTAACGATGCAGTTGAGCGTTCGAAATGCAAGAGCGTGTGGTGTTTCGACTGACAGGCGCGGCACGATCCGGATTTGCAGTCACGAATTTGATGCCCAGTCTTTAGGCAGTTAAGACAAAGGGAAAGCTTCTTAACTTCCCTCAGGCGTAAGTTCGGAGACAAATTTGCGAAGCGTTGACAGCTATAAATTGCATGCTCG